GTAACAGGTCAATTAGAAGGTGGTCCCTTAAAATAGGAATGATTGAATTGAGCTTGAGAATTCTTTCTTTCATGAACTTATTGAAACCTCGGAAGAAAAGCTTTTTGAAACTTAGCCGAAAAATACTTGCCCAAAAAAGAAAAAGAAGAAAGAAAACTTAGCCGAACAACAAAAACAGAATGCAACAAGTCCTTTGGTTCAAACTTTAAAGGGGAATGTACACTACATGGGTTTGAGTCCTGGTTTGTGTACCAAGTCTGGTATTTAAGTAGAAAATGGTAGAGGACCGGGCCTATTATAGACCGAGTTTTAAAACTAAAAATACTCATTTCTTAATATAGTTTAGAGTGAACTTACTTTGAGGAACTGGATATGTGCAACTTTCTTTTGAGAGATATCATTAGTTTAGCACCAAGAAGGTTCAATCATAACTATTTACGGGATACCAAAAGAACTTCCCTTCTAACTCGAGGCTTGGCCAACTTACATCAGGAAAAGAAGTGAGGATTGGCTAACTGGCCCCATTGCTTGTTAGACTATCTGTATGATGCATGTATATTTGCAGTTTAAAGCATTTTACAATTCCCTCTTTGTCCTCGGTTTTGACCCAGTTCTAAAAAGGGTTATTTATGAGAGAATTGATGCTCATATGAAGGACCTGGTGAATCTTAAGTTTAGTACGCGGAGGTTATCAAGTCCAGTCCTGCTAAGTTTAAATTTGATCGATTTCCAATTTGTTTGATAACTTTACTTGAATCTAATGAACAATATGCGTGCTAAATCATGCGGCTATTCTTGTGTCAATGCGATTGTCATTTTACTGAAAGCATATATATTCTTAGAAGACCGGATTTCCCGCGCCACAACTGTCTTTAACCATACTTGGAAGAAAATTGATCCATCTTGAAATCAATTGCTTTTCGAGGATCCCCATGAAAGCGTGTTCTTTCGTTAGGATAGACTACCTCATGGCATAGTTCAACTTCAACTTTTTCAACATTATTAACTCCCAAAAGCAGATACGCCACGCCATTAGTCTTATTTCTAAATACCTGGCTTCTTGGTACATCTTTCCCTTACCGTTATCTTTGATCCAATTTTTTTTTTCTTTTTCCGTATCATCTGTGGAGAGAGATGATCAGATAGTCTATGAGAACAAATCTATTCTTTTATCTTTATGTAGAAACATACTAGTTGCCGCAGTATTACTTGGGTAGTTTCACGTACTTCAATAACTGTACATTGTTTTATTGTAGTTATTGTTCCTTTTTCAAGAATGCTTTGTCATGCTTCCTATAGTGTCTTGTTATGGCTTCCTTAATCCCACTATTTCTTTTTCCTTGAGCCGATCAAGGGTCTATTAGAAACAGCCTCTCTACCTCCCAAGATAGGGGTAAGGTTTACGTACACTCTACCTTCCCTAAAGTCTACTTGTGCGGTTCCACTGGGTATTGTTGTTGTTGTTGATATTTGAGTTTACTGCAGGGAGATAGCAAGACATCTGTTCCTTCCACCTCAAAAAATTCACTGCAGTATGCTAGCTGAGGATGCAATTAGGGCTGCTAAGAAGGATTACGAGACGAAGAAGGCAAAATTTAATGAGAATGCCGAAAATGCATCAACAGAAAAAGCTGTTTGATATACTAGTTGAGAAATAAATCACATTCATGCAACTACTATTTTTCTTTATTATGACTGTACCAAGGGTTTTATAAACTTCGTTGTTGACTCTGTAGTTTTAAATTTCACAAGTGAAAATTCATAATATAATCTTTGGATTTTATAACTCCAAATAGTTGCTATTTTCCAATTTATTATATATGATTTAATCATATAAGTTGATGTAAAAATTGAATATGAATATTGTTTATTTCATGTGATGTAAAGTTAAGTTCTTTTTAAATTTGTCTTGTAACAACTAACAAGCATGTGACTTTGTCTTTAGAAAAATACAAGAAAAACATTATAATTTTCTACATTATGTTGGTGTTATTGTTAGCACTTGTCATTTTAATCATCTTAATTATTTTTCTTGGTTGATTTTTTGTGATTGTACATATATTTGATAAGTGACTTCAGAAAAAAGGAAAACCCCTTTCTCATAATAAATGACAAGATTGAAAAGTTAAATCACAAAAAGTCTAATTAATTGACTTCAGAAAAAATAAAAACACTCTCTCCGATTTATGTGATTTGGAAAGAATAATTTATGATGCGTGTGTCTTTCTTGTTCAACTTTATATAAGTTTAAATGTCTATTTGTGCACACTTAAAATTGAAGGGCATACTAATAAGATCAAATTAAAGGACAAATTTATGTATTAATGTACTCGCGACTTTCCTAATATGTCCAATTTGGCATATGTTAAATGCCATAAGTTGAAATAAAATGATTAATTTGTAAAAGATTTGACACACAAAGTGCACTTATATAGTTAACTAATCAACATTAGGCTATATAGAAAAAAATCACATAAAAATAGTATTCCTCCGATAATAATTACTACGAGTTGTTTGGTAATTGGTGAATAAATTTTCAATTATACTAAAATTATAATACAAGAGTACTTAAATACTGACGTGAATAAGAATATACTTTTCTTAGTAGATGCCAACTCAATTATTCTCATGTGTATATAATATAATATAATATAAATACATACTTAGCTTTATATGAGAGAAATTTTAATTTCAATTTTAACCTAGATTTTCCTAGTAAATTAAACTTCAGAAGAGACTCGTTATTTTATTCTGTGAATTGTGATTAGCAATTCTAAAAATATTATATCACATATTGAGTATGGTGTGGCATATATAAACTCAAAATTACTTATATCGTAAGAAACTGATCAATTAAATATAAAATAAAATAATCTCATATTTTATTTCGTAATTGTTTGTGTTTTCCTTAGTACATCATCAATGATGAAACAGAATGGCATACATTTCAAATCCGGTAGAGATTTTCCTTTGACTTTGATTTAATTTCATTTGGGGACAAAAGTCTGATTAAATTCTTTTTTTTATCAAAACCTAATTTCCTTTGATTTAATTTGAGTTCGGAGTCAAAAGGGCAAAAAAAAATTATCAAAAATTCCAAAAGGGTACATCAAATTTTTTTTAAACCAAAAGGGTAAAATCGCTCCTGACGAGGCGATTTCCCTCTGACACCTAGCAGCGATTTTGTAAAATTATTATTATTTTTTTATTAAAAATCGCTGCCACAGCAGCGATTTTAAATCAGATTTTTTTCCCTTACACATCGCTGCAGGGGCAGCGTTTTTCATGCCTAGTGCTATTATTTTCATGCCTATTGTTAATTATTAATAATATAAAAATGATAAATAAGACGGACAGTATACTCAATAAAATTGTTGAAGCATGAGGAAAATTGAATTATATATCATAAATAATAATAAAAGAATATTAAATTTTACTGTTGTCGTACGATTTTCAAGAGCGATTTTCTTCTGACAAAAGTTGTCGTACGATTTTCTGGAGCGATTTTCTTCTGACAAAAGTTGTCGTACGTTAAAAAAGATAAAAATCACTGCTACGATCGGTGCCTTAGCAGCGATTTTCTCAAAAAAAATAATCTTTTTTTCTTCAAAATTGCTGCTATTTTCTCAAAAAAAATAATCTTTTTTTCTTGATTTTGGTTAAGAATTTTAAAAAAAAAGTTTTTTGTTAAAATTTAATATTCTTTTATTATTATTTATGATCGCGCGAAGTGTGGGCAAATTGCCTAGTATAATATAAAACACGTTTAAAATAAAATAATCTCACATTTTATTTAGTAATTATTTGTGTTTTCCTTAGTACATAATCAATGATGAAACAAAATGGCATACATTTCAAATCCGGTAGATATTTTCCGTCGACTTTGATTTAATTTCATTTGGGGACAAAAGTCGATTAATTTTTTTAAATTAAAACCTAATTTCCTTTGATCTAATTTTCTTTGGTATTATAATTTATCTAGATTCGAATTTGAGAACTTTAAATTCTTTTAGACAGATTGTTTCAGACCTCTATCATCCAATATGACTTTAAATTCCTAGTGTATTCATATTAAAAGTATTTCGAACAATGGAGCTATTACATCATCAATGATGAAACAAAATGGCATTACATTTAAAATATTTTTTTCCTATGATTATTTAATTCGTTTTAGAAGTTATGTGTCTTGTTATGCATGCATCGTTGAAAAATACACATTTACTATTCACCTTTTTTGATTTTCAACATTTTTTCACTTGAATTTTTTTCCCCACTTAATTAATTAAAAACTGAACACGTGTTAATTTTAGAGAGGGGTTAAGTTGTTATTTATAGTTTATTTCTTTCATTAATGGCATTAACTAACACTATATATACGTATAAATTATTTCTTAATTAAAAAAAATGTACAAAACTTAAAACAGAAATTATAATGTTGAAAAGAAATGAGTATTAATGTGAATTTCCGAATTAAAAATGGAAAATAAGATAAGAGAGAGCCGAAAAAGAGTTTAACTTTTATGAATCGACAATGCAAAAATAAAAATTCAATCAGGTCATCAAAAAAATAATTACAAGTAGACTTTTCTAAAAAGGCCAGATTGGTAACACAAAAGAAGATTGACTAATATCTACATTGTCTCTTTCTCACTCATCCAATACCTTTTCACTATTCACCCCCAAACCCCCACTCCCCACCCTATTACATTTCCGTAAAATTTTGCTAGATTATATATAAATGCTTCGAGAATAATATATTTTTACTTACATACACAAATACTAGAAAATAAATAAAAAATTCATTTATTTTCCAAAAAAAATATTTTCTAGACCCGCCAAACATACCCTCAAGTACAAATTATTTATTCAAACTCCCTCCAGAGAAAAATCAACATTCCAAGTGTGTTCCACATGAAGTGTAGCCACTATATAAGTAACCATCTCAAAATGCAAAGTTCATCAAATAGAGTTTTACATTTCTTAATTTCTTGTACTAAGATATGGAGTTTCATCACTTTGTTTCATTTTCGCTATTCATCTTCTTCCTCTTTATGATAATTCAAAATTGGACCAGAAACTCGAAAACCCTCAAGAAAAAGCTGCCACCGGGCCCGTGGAGGTTACCTATTATTGGAAGTGTACACCACTTGACACGTGGAACACCTCATCGAGTTCTCCGAAACTTGTCGCAAAAATATGGACCCATTATGTACTTACAACTCGGGGAAGTTCCCACAGTAGTTGTGTCCTCCCCACATATGGCCAAACAAATTCTAAAAACTCATGACCTTGCCTTTGCATCTAGGTCAGTAACCATGTTGGGAAAAATTCTTTGTTATAATAGTACGGATATTGCCTTTTCCCCATATGGTGATTACTGGAGACATATGCGTAAATTGAGTGTGTTGGAGCTACTTAGTGCCAAGATGGTTAAGTCTTTTAGCTCAATTCGACACGATGAGCTCTCAAATCTCCTATCATCTATCGACTCAATGGTAGGTTCACCAATCAACTTATCAGAAAAACTTTTTTGGTTTATGAATGCTTCGACATGTAGGTCAACATTTGGGAAAGCATGTAAAAATCAAAATGAGTTGGTAACGTTGATTCAACGAGCAATGTCATTATCTGGTGGATTCGAGCTAGCTGATTTGTTCCCTTCGAAAACATTTCTACATGGGATTAGTGGGATGGAATCTAAACTTATGAAAGCTCGTAATAAAGTAGACATACTGTTGGACAACATTATCAATGTGCATAGAGAGAATCACACAAATGGAAAAAATTATAATGGTGAGTCTGGAACTGAAGATCTGATCGATGTTTTTTTAAGAGTCATGGAGAGCGGCGAATTTCAATTCCCTCTAACAAATGACAATATCAAAGCAGTTATTCTTGTAAGTGTATCTTTTATTTTTCGATACAATTGGTTAACTACTAACATCATACCTTTTTATTTGTTTCCTTTTAGCTTATGATCTATTTACTTACATAATTAACTTGGTTGGTGTAGGACATGTTCGTAGCAGGGTCAGACACGTCATCTGCAACCGTTATTTGGGCATTATCAGAAATGATGAAGAGTCCAAGTGTGATGGCCAAAGCACAAGCTGAAGTGAGAGAAGTCTTTAAAGGAAAGGACGATACTGACCTTGAAAAACTTAATTACCTAAAGTTAGTGATCAAAGAGACACTTAGGTTACACCCTCCAACACCCTTGTTGGTCCCTCGAGAATGTAGGGAGGAAACAGAGATAGATGGATTCACTATACCGTTGAAAAGTAAAGTCTTGGTTAATGTATGGGCAATAGGAAGGGATCCCAAGAGTTGGGAAAATAATCCTGAATGTTTCATACCTGAAAGATTCGAGAATAGTTCTATTGAATTTACTGGAAATTACTTTCAACTTCTTCCGTTTGGTGCAGGAAGACGAATGTGTCCAGGAATACATTTTGGTATAGCTCTTGTTACTCTACCATTAGCCCATTTGCTTTACAAGTTTGATTGGAAGCTTCCAGAAGGAATTCATGTAAGGGATTTGGATATGACTGAGTCAAATGGAATAACTGCTAGAAGAGAGAATGATCTCTACTTGATCGCCACACCTAGCTCGTTTTAGTAACTGAGTTTGCAATAAAATATGTTTGAATCCAAAGGTAGTACACTAGCTTCGCCCCTGATCAGTGCTTGGTTCACTTGTTTTAGTCTGCACACGTGTTGAATAATGGATCAAATATTTTCTTTATTTCATCTAGTAGTCTTGTATACCATGATGAATAATGGATCAAATATTTTATACATTAATCGATGACTTTTCATGGTGGCAAAATTTTGACTTATGGGAAGGGCAATAGTGGACTTACAGAAAAAGGCTGATTGGTATAATTAGAGCTATCAATATAAATTGACCTAATTTATTCGTGTGCCTAGCCTATTTGAGCTTTGAAGTTTGATGGGTTGGATTGGGTTGGGCTAACTTACTATGTCGACATGTCTTAAAATGGACAGCTCAACCCTATGTGAACGGGACGATGTTTTTTAAAATATACTTTTCATAAGGTTTTTAATCTAATGTACTCTAAAGTTTCTAACATAAATATCTACAAGACAACGTTATCTAGTATTGTTAATTAAGTCTCAAATTACAATTAAATTATCTCGATATAATACTTATTAAGTATGAATTAACTAATGAAAAAGCTGATCGATTTGGATTTGATCAATTATTTCAAATTACGCAATAATAAATTACATCAATTGGGATCAAACTTAGGTTGGTCTATAACATATCAAATAGAAACAAGTCTTTTAAAAAAAAAAATTGATAAATTTTCTCATGTTTCAATATTTTTTTGGTCCACACCTGAGTATTGGTACTCGCATGGAGGCTCGAGTCTCGATTAAATTTGAATTTGCATATTAAAGGAGCAATGCTTCTAATGAGATTTTTTTTCATTTTTAAGAGTTTGAAATCGAAAGTTCTGATTAAGAATGAAGGGACTCAACCATCAATATATGTCGGTGCAAAAGTAAGGAATTGGTCATTGACTACCTTTACCCCTTTTAATTATGTATAGTCCATTTTGAATAGTAATATTCTTTTTCAATAATTTTTTTCATATCTCAAATATTTTTGGCCTTTAAGGAGTTATTATGATGGTAATTCACTCAAAAAACTTTTATTGCGTTACTAACTTATTTCATTGAGGAACAACATGTTAAACCAAGAATACTCAGGTCAAGAGGTCATAGAGCCTTTATTTGTTAAATATAAATATCAATAAAACTTCAGAAAATGATGCAGTGACAAAGTCAGAATTTTTACTAAAAAAGTTTAAAATATGAAAAAGTAAACATAAAAAAGAAGTCGAAGCGAGTTCAATATCTAATATATATACATAAAAATAATAATTTTAACTATACATATATAATATAATTTTCCACCAAAGGACCTCCTCGACCTTACCTGGCTCCGCCTCTATCCTGATGGTTATGGGAGTAGTTTTTTCAAAGTTACATCATATAAATGCCGCAAAAATGTTTTAGCAACTCTAGAAATGCAATGATATTAACACAAAAATGTGGAACATTTATTTAAAGAATTTGTAATTAATTTTGTTTATAGAGGTCTTATAATGTCTTAGATGCCCTTCCTAGAAGGTGGTCTAAGGTATAGCTATTTTATTGGTGTATGATAATATTTCACAGTTATTAAAAAAAGAAGAAGAAATCAATCAAATATCTTTTGCATCATTTTCCAATATGAAATTGAACTAACAAAAACTTATAAGGTTCAAGAAAGCAATAGATCGAAATCATACAAAAAAGATTAGCATGATCCGAACGAAGAATATGAAAGCAATAGAAGAGAAGGTCTTACATGAAACATTAAGAGCATGTCAAGATAGCCAGGATAACTTGCCTACAACCAAATAAAATTTTTTATCAAATGGAGTAGGCAAGTCATCCTTGGCTACTAAACAATACTCTCAACTTCATGTAAAACCCCTCTTCAATAATGTTATTTAACTTCTACAAATATGTGATGCATTTATTTGGTCTCTAAATGTCTCTATTTATAGGTTCAAGAAGGGGAAAAAAGTGAGAAAAAATTTGCCTTCATTTTATTTTATTTTTTGCTTTTTTGTTCTCCCTATTTGACATTCTTCCTATTGATCTCAAGTCATATTTTGGAATATATTCTTTATGATTTTGGATTAGAATTGAGTGAATAATGTTCTCCAAATTAAAGGATCAATTATTCTAGCAGGTTGTCTATCATATATATTTTGCAAATCTCAATAGTCAACCTTACAGAAAGAAGAACTATTTTCTTGACATGGAAAACAAATCAACTACATTTTCCTTTCCCTATCCTATGTAATAATTCTTTTTTTTTTTAAAAGAAAATAACTTGAGTGCTATTCTAATTCGAGTAACATTACAACAATTAAAAACAACTTTTAAAGGGAATAAATATACACATTAATAAAGAGTGCGGAATTTTTTATATGTATTAGTTAATTATTATTGGATCTAATATCGTTATAGGCTTTAGGGACATTTACAGAGAGTGCTATTTACTGCTAAATAATACATATTTAGTAGCAATTAAGCTATTACCGTTAATTAATTACAGTTAAAGGTAATTTTTTGATGTAGTGTAACTACATATATGAAAACCAGATAATCTTTTGGGTGTATCATTTATTTTATTTTATTTTTTGTTTTTCATTCGGTGTCCTTGTGCCCACATTGAAGCCTAGACTAAATTTGGATCGCGCACGGCAGTCCATTCAGGGGTGACACTTCCAACAAAAAATTTTCATACTCGGGACGGCTCGAATTCGAATTCTCTGATTAAGGGTAAAGCAGTTCCACCATTGCACCACAATTTACGTGCACACAAATTCTTTAATTACAATTTACAAGCTCATGTGTCCTTTCACATTGCATGGAGTCATACCCTTTTCTACTATTAACTTGCTGTAATTTTTTAATTTTTTTTAATTACCATATGGTAGTGTGACCTTTATATTAATGAATAAAATTACAAAGCTAAGGGGAGCATAAGCCCGGCCCAACTATTTCAGATTGTAGCCAATAGATACTTCGTAAAAAAAAGGCATAGGTAAAAACTATACAAGTTTTACATAAATAAACAAGTCTAGTGTGATGGACAAAAACAACTATAACATCTCAACTAGATTAATTCTATACAAAACATTTTTTCCTTTGCTTATGCCTTAAAGAACTCCATTTATATGAGATCAAGTCTGTAATGTTCAATGGTTATCAAATGGAGGTGAACTTATGCAAAAATAATCCGCTCCGTATTTGTAATACTCCATTTTGCTAAGACATCTATGGCTTGATTGACTTTCCTATATAAATGTCGAACCTTGCATGTAATAATACTTGAAATATATTGAATACGAGCAATGATCATACGTTGATCAAGTCTATCTATATTTATTTTCTTCAATCATTAAACTTAAATTTAAATTACTAAAAATAATAAAAATGTGCTCATGCATGTGCTATCAGAAAATTTGGATAAAGTTGCATATTAATTATACAAAAAAGGTCAAAAATATCCTTAAAGTATGCGAAATAGATCACTTATACCCTCTATTACATTTTGGTATAAAAAATATCCCGTTGTTATCCCAGGAGACCACAAATATCCTCAAGAGTTAACTACCTAATTTTTTTAGTGATGTGGCAAGTCACATAGGAATAATCCCTCCACCTAAGCATTGCCAACTAGGATTCACTACAAAAGAACTTGACCTTTGGTCCTGAAATATTGCCACTAAAGGTTATGAGTGATTTTTAGTGGCGACTAAGGCTGCAACAACCATTCGCTAGTAAAACCTATATTTTCAATAAAAAATATAATAATTAATTTTTGGTTGCAACCTAATTTTTCAAAATAAATAACTTGCACTATCAGTATTAAAAACATCCAATATTATTACAAAAATCATCAAAATTACTTTTCGATTCTAGTCTCCTATTACATGCATAATGCATCATTGTACATTTTATACATTTACATGACATAAAAATAAAACATATAGTGTCTTCAAACTCCTCCTTAATCGATATCATTTTTGGTTTCTTAAAAACAATGAAGAAAACAACACAAAATCAGAATTTAATGTTAAAAGACCTTTAGTGACGATATTATGGGCTTTTGTGGCGACTGTTGTCGCCGCTAAAGGTCTAGTTCTATTGTATTGAATTCTAGTTGGTAATGCTTAGGTGGAAGGATTAGTTCCATGTGACTTGCCATGTCACTAAAAATTTGGGGTGTTAAATCTTGAGGGTATTTGTGGTCTCTTAGGATATATAACGGCGGGGGGCATTTTTTATCCCAAAATATAACAAAGGGTATAAGTGATCTATTTCGCATAGTTCAAGGACAATTTTGACCCTTTTCCGTTAATTATATCATTTTGACTAAAGTTGGATCATCAATATATTTGACTTTTTAGATAAAGCATATTGTTTGGAAGGAATACCCTTTAAACATAAAGATTGGGCATCAAATCCATTTTTTCAGCCCCACAAAATAATCAAGGTCAATCATAATTCATAAAAGGTCGAATTTTGTGTTGTATAGGGAACTACAAAAGGAGAAGAAAATACACGCACTAATTTTTAAGTGTAAATGTGCATGCATGACAAACTAATTTAGACTAGAAAAATATGTATACGTCTCAGTTTCAAATAAGTTGAGATCGATCGACATGTGATTTATTTTTGTTCTAGTTAATCTTAATTCATGTCATCAAATAAAAATAAAAGTGAAAATAAGTTAAATATATGTAATGATAACAATATTATAAGTCCTCTAGCAAGATGAAAACTATTCCAAACTAGCATATATCCTCTATATGAATCTTTTCCCTTTATTATATTGTCCTCTTTAATATTTAGTTGAATTTGCATTACTATCAAGAAATTATAGGTCTTTCGAGACAAAAACACTAGGCGATTTCTTTCCATATGTCCTAGTTATGGTGGTCATAGTTAATTACCTAGTACTCATTGCTAAGAGATGACATGTATTATGTGGAATTAATCGAAGTGTGTGAACTGATCAGAACACCC